GTTAAGGAGGATAGTTTATTTGATTCCACAATAGATTGTATTAGGGGATGAATCATTTGAAAGGTTCCTCAAATAGTTAGCATTAACTTAAGAATTAAAATGATTGATATTTATAAATTTTGTTATATTATACAACTATAAAATATTACGTATTTTGAATAATTAAGATATCGACTTTAATCATATACATTAAATGAAAGTTGAAAAAGACGATCAGATCCTAAACTACTCAGACTCAGATATAAATTTCGAAACAAATCAATCAACTTTATGCGAAGATCATTTGTTTCAGAATGTAAAAAGTTCTTAATTGGGCGCGGCTTTGATTTTATCGTAAAACCAATAGAAAGAAAGTATAAAATATAATGAGTTAGGAATGCTAAAGAAGCAGAGCGAAAATTCATACCTCATAAATAATCGCACGTTTTAAGAATAAAGACAATTCATTTTGAGAACTTTGTGTTTGATTTAGTTCCATTTATTGGGACCATTGCTCCTTTGCGTATTTTGCATGTTTACGACATTTGTCGTGGAACTGCTATACGATAAAGAAGAATAGAAATTTTCTTTTCTATTTTATATTAGTGTGGCCTTGGAGATATTTATATTATTTTCAGTTACTATTTCAAGGAAAAATGCTCGAAAAACTCCTTATGCTTAGAGTGCATATGTCTTTTTTGGGATTTTCCTGTCATTTATTTTGGCTGGATTGTACTCTTCCACGTATTATTCTGACAATTAAAATGTTGGATTCATAATTCTTGCCTTGATAAATATATTTTAAGGATCAAATGCTGGGGCACTATTTTATTTTGCCACTTTGAAACAAAAAAAATCAACATTATGTACGATCTTTGTTTGATTATAGATTCACTCCCATTTATTTGTATTTTTCCATTGCTTCTAAGTTTAATTTATATGTTCTTTATGTAAAATGAAATATTGAAAATTGCATGTTGGATGATTGCATTTGTTTCTATAGCATTAGCTATTTTATCAGTGAATGCCTTGTATCAAATAATTGATGGAGCTGTATGTGATATTTAATTATAATGTAGTTTAAATTGGAGAAAGAATAACACTGTATTGCTACGATATTCATTTATATAAAGATGATAGTTTTTTGCAAAGAATTTTGATTGAATTATTTATTATTTATAATTTTTATTATAATATGGATAGTATTAGAGAACGACTTTTATAATTAGACCAACAAGCTCAACAATTCTAACAATAAAATAAGTATTTGGAGGCATTGAATGTTTTTGAGGAAATGCTCATGATAAAAAAGTCAGCATATGGTGAGGATTCTGAGGAATATTTCAAAACTAGTGATAAATTGTGCGAATTATGTAACTTAATCGCTATGATTTTCTTGTAAAAGGAAAAATTTGATGCTTCATTAGAATTCTTAAAGAAGGCAGACATGTTGGCCCAATCCAGTACTAGATATAAGTATTGATGTCTTATTATTAATTCTTTTTTATTAGAGCCATTACTTACAATAATTTGGCTTGTTTCTACAGGAGAAATGGGAAATTAAGAAGTGCTCTGTAATATTTGTAATAGGCATTGGAAATAGAAATTCGATAGGAAACAGCACCCTCTTTGGCTGATACCCATTTAAATATGTGTGCTGTGTTGTCATAATTGAATAGAGTAAGGAATGTTATATAATAGCACGCTGAAGCATTGGAACACGCTTTGATATCAGTAGTATTACTTTAAGATGAATTTTTAATGAAACCACCAGATTAGAAAATGGAACAAAGCCAGAATTAGGATTAAAAATCAGGAGAACAAAAAATGAAGGATAGAGTGGCTGTCTTAGCCATTGCCTATCATAACTTGGGCGTAGAATTTGAATATTTAAAGAGATTTGATGAAGCTATTTAAACATATTAAAAGGCTGTCAGATTTGGTGAGCTTCACCTACCACCAGATCATTAATTAGTAATAATGAATTAGACAATTTTAGATTGGAAATTTAAAGAATGTCTTAGGAAATGCCTAAGAATAAATTAACTAATAAAGAGCAAAGGATAGCAATAAGAGGCAATAGAAGGAATTGCAAAGTAGAAATCAAAATAAAAGAAAACTAGTGGAGGTGGAGGCAACTTACAAATAGAATAATAAAAAGAAAACTGATAAAATTGTGCAACACTAATAATAACAATAATAAGTTATGGGATAGACGATGCGTTCTAACCCACAAAATAATAGTGTTAATATCAGAGAAGATGATTAAGAATAACAAGGGGGAGTCCAATAAGAATCCAGTTACAATGATCACGATGAATTGCAATAAGAAGCTTAAACTTAATTATAATAGCATCAATAATAATGAAATAACATTCATATAAATATATATATAATTATTTATTTTATTTGTATATGAAGTAAAAATAATAATCTGATTAAAAAAACACTAAAATGAAGACAGACATAAATGATATCAGATTCTTAATGAAACAAAATAATGAATTGATGTAGCAAATCTCGCATCGTCTGAATAATAGAAATTAAGTATTTTAATTAGAGTAGTAATTAAAGACGGAAAGAAAATAATTCATTAATACGACCAGAAAAGTGGGGCTTTTAAGTAATTAACTAGAAAAAATCTAATAAATTGTATTATCTCAAAAGGAAAAGTTAAAATCACAATAACAATTAAGCAAATCCCAATTAAGGTAGACATAATAAATCCCTTAAAATTAAACCGTTGAAAAAGTTAGATCGAAGTCTTCAAACATCAAAAATGTTGATGTCGGCTTTATAAAATCTAAAATTAAGTAGGCATTACAAGAAGTGATGTGTGAATATTTGGACTGATTTTAACTTTAATTCTCTTTATTTATATTAAAATAAAATAATTCACATAAATCATTTTTTTAAGTCCATTTTGTCATTATTCATAACCATATCTATTGAAACTTCTATATTTTTAAATTAATCATCCTAAATTGTTGAATCTCTTACTCAAATAAATTTAGAATATATTAAGACCAAATAATTTAATCTTTATTAAAAATTTAAAAACTCTATGTGAAATTTTCAAGTTATCCATTAAGAAAATATGAAATCTATCTATAAGAATAGCCTTAATAATAAAACATATTAATATATATTACATCAATTATGCAACTGAAAGATATAAAATTAGTCATATTAAATTATAAATAAATCCAATCATTTTCCTAAAGAACTTTTTTTAAGTATTTTACAAATTCAATACAATTCCATCTGTCTTGAAATAGGGTACTCGTAATCTTTTACAATCGTAGTATTATATGGGTTGTGATATGTATTAGTTTGATAAGACTTTAAAGTCCAGATGTGATGCTATCTCCTCTACAATTTTATCGTCTAACTAAACAAATTGCTTATTTTAATAGAATTAATATCTTGAATTACTCAATTTTCCAATTTTGCATTCAGATAATATTACTCACTAACTCTTAAATAAACACTTGGGTGTCATTATACTTAAGAATGGAAGTTTTCTTATGAGAGACTTACTATAATAAAGGACTTATAGTTTTTGTCTAAAAGTAACATATATTTTTATTTAATAAATATAAAATAATTTAAATTCAGTTTGCAAGAGACTCAGCAAAATATAATTCAAATAAAAGCCAACTATCTAGGAGTTCCAAAATACATTCAAACTTTTGAGTGTTTAAAACAAGATTTATTGACTATAATAATTTAGTAAGCAGCTCTTTGAAATAATAATATACATTTAAACTGATATTTCTTCAGTGTTTTTGTAACAGCGTTTAAATTTAAACTCAGATCAATACTATTCATCAAACAGATTATCAGATATTTCAATTAATATCATATTATAAAATATGTGAGATTTTATTGTAAAAGCCAAAACACGTTAGCTGAGTTGTTTCTGTTATTTATGAAGAATAAATTAACAATAAGGATTGTTCCCAGCCATCTAAATAGTCTGTAATGATATTTAGCTTAGCAATGAATTTCAGAAGGTATGTCGATTAAATTAATTTTCTAGAAAATTAAAATTCTAAAGAAATCAAGAGAAATAAATTATAATTTATACATTTATAATCCATTAGTGAAGTTTTCTAAAACGAATTTGATAATTGCATAGGAATGCATCCACAATTCATTTATAACGATTAAAATTTAATGTAGCCTTTAATTGTATATAAAATTAACCTGAATATTTTGATTATGATTTCTTTCAATTGTTCTTTGGGAATGATGAGGTTTAAGAATTTGGTTTAAGTGAGTGTATTTGTACTGATCATTGTAAGAACTATTTTGTTATTGGATGGTCACTAAGAATATTATGCTGGGAGGAATGGAACAATGGAGAAGTACTGACATTTATAAAGATTTTTTAAGCAATTCTTTATATTATTATTTTTAATTTTAAAGATGGGTTCATTTAAATATACAGTATTGATATTAATTTTACTTTCAACATACGGATGGGGATACAAATTAAGAAGTATAACAGCATATTAGAATTGTGATATAAAATGGGGTAAAGAATAATTAAACAATAATTCTTCAAAGACCATTTGTTCAAATGGTAGTTTACTAAGTTGTCTTTCCATGATTTTACAAACAAGCAGTAAGCCAATTAACAGTAGGGCTGTAAACCCAGCAGTATTGAATAAATACTTGATGAATAATAATGGGTATAAATAAGGAGATGAAATTAATTTTTCAGCTTTGAGCAATATAGGTGTAGTTTTTGTGAAAACAGTTTCAGACTTAAAGTAAGCTTAAGGTATTATTGAAGTTAAATTTAGATTATTTCAATTCCAACCACTACATTGTATTGAATTTAAATTATGGAAAAAATTACGGTGTTCTAATTGGATTTGATGACTCAGACAAATCAAACGTTGCCTATTACATCAACAATCCAATTGTCCCATCGCAAACCAAAGTCGAAGCCAAAGACATTAGTGTGGCCATAATTTTTAAAGCCCTTTGAAAAAATATAGATAAATAAGAACAAATATTTAACATAATTTTTGAACATAATATCATTTAATACTCAATAATCATCTGGTGCAATAACATCATCTATTTTCAATATCATCTTGACAACTTAGGTGGCCAATTAGATTTATTGTTTCTTTGAGCTCAAGGTTTCATAAATTCTCTATTCTTTCATATCAGTTGTACCCTTTAATATAATAGATGATAATTACTAATTCCATGCAATCAATTCCGATTCTTGGATTGCTTTCTTGTAATTGTCTAGCCTTGGCTTGAGCAACAGATGTAATAGGATTAAGACCACAATTATCAGCCAAACAACAGGGAATACCTTCTAAGGCATCTGCGAATGATCTGATGGCATATTATTCAACTGATGAGACCTAAACTATTATATATGACATACCTCATCAGCATATTGGAGTACTTGGATAGCACAAGCTAATTCAGCAGAACCTCCTCCATAGACAATTCTATTATCTTTGATTAAGTTTCTGATGACACAGATAGCATCATGGATAGACCTTTTAGCTTCATCGACGATCATTTGACTTCCTCCTCTAATAAGAATGGTGACAGCCTTGGTGCATTGGCAATTCTCAATAACTAACATTCTTTCATTGGAAGTTCCGAATTGTACTTCTTTGACTGAGCCAGCTTTTCCTAATTTTTCAGGTGTAATTTCTTAAAATCTGGGAATGATTCTAGCTCCAGTGGCCATAGCGATGAGTTCTACATCAGTTCCAGATACCCATCTAACGGCAGGGAGTTCATTTTATAACAATAAGTGATTGGCTTCATCATCAAAACCCCATTAACATAAGGCAATGTTGGCTCCACTATCTTTGACTAGTTTGACCATGTCAACAAAGTATTGTTATTCCTATAGATATAATTTCTTGTAATCTTCTGCACTAGAAATGTTAATGTTGTGCTTGGTCTTGGGTTTGGGTGGTTCAAATGGACATGTTAATAAACAGATTTTGGCTTCTTTGACTTCCTTGGGCATTTGTGGATGACTCATGTCTTTGTCAATGAGAATTCCTGATATCAATCTGGTGTCTTCAACACTTCCTCCAGTTTTGGTTTGAATTTTAATCAAATCCAAATTCACATCTCTTCTGGCTAAGTCAGCCACATCCAAAACTGCAGTGACAGCAATCTTACCAAGTTCTCTCTTTCTTTTAGACACAACCTTTGATCCAAGGGCTGTGCATGCTGCTTAGATCAAAGCCTCATGTTCATTAGCTTGGATATCGATTTCTTCGGATATGGTTTCCAGATGTTCTAGAGTTGTAGGATATGGAATTTATACTTATTGCAACATCGCATGCTCTGTCGAATCCATCACTAATTTTCAATGGATGGATTCCTTTGTCCAACAAAGTGAGTGCTTGCTCCAACAACTTTCCAGCCAAGACTACTACTCCTGTGGTACCATCTCCTATTTCAGCATCTTATGATTATGACAATTCCACCAATAATTTTGCGGTTGGATGCTATATTTCCTATAATTCATATTAAAATGTTTCGATACCATCTTCTCGACAATTGTTGCTCCATCATTTGTTACTGAGACATCGCCGTCTGGAGACACCAACATCTTATCCATACCCTTAGGACCAAGAGAAGATGAAAGTGTATTTGCAACAGCTTTGGCAGCCAAAATATTGCTTTTATATGCTTCCAAACCCTTCATTCTCTTCTTTTGGCCTTGATCCCTTAAAATAATGTATGGTCTGCCATAGTCATCGAATGCTAAACTCATATTTTAAATAAATATTTTTAAAATTTAATCATTCACCCCACAATTACTAATAATTAGAGTAACTTTGTATATATAATCAAATACAAATATAAATATAAATTCCAATAGCTATCTATTATAATTTATTAATTATTTATATGCGTAATCGACTCCAAGCTTGCTCTTTCAAGAACTCAACTTATTCACACCTATTCAATAATGCACTCACCCTAAATAAAACCAGATCATGTGAATCTCAGGAATGTGGATACGCTAACAAAAAAATGCTCTATGTCTCTACCATCCTACCCACTTTTCAACCTTACTAACATATCATCTCTAAACTAAAAGATCAAAATCTCAAATTGCAGCAACGAAAACAAATCAAAATGAGAAACAAAAGACATTTGATATAAAAAAAGACCCTAAGTGAAATCATGTAAAAACAAGACTAACAACCAAAAAAAAGAACCAATAGACATCACAACACTGTATTTTACAATCACTAAGCAAGTATGCCCATTCAACCTAATATATGTTCTAATGAATCTAGTCAAAATCCCTCCAAAGAAAATTCAAGACACTCTATCCAATTGCACAGGTACAATTCACTTTCCCCTCGAAAACTTTACGTAGATAAAAGGACTACTAAATTATAAACCTTTTCACAAAGATTAAAAACCTTCTACTTACCCATTACCGCTCCCTTTGATTGCTAAACAATTATGAGATTGGAGATGATCGAAGATGGAAGAGCAAAAGTCATTAAGCAATAAGGTTCTCAGGACGATTTTGAAGTTAACCTCAGATTGTTTAAATTTGAAGATGACGACAAGAATGCTGAAGATCAAGGGAAGGATCAACAAACAAAACTACCCACGTTGCATTAAGAAGAGGACGAGGAGGACGATACTAGCAATGACGACAATCTTGGTAACTTAAAACAGTTATCAAACAATAATTAAAAATAAGCTTATAAAAATATCTTAAAATTCAATAGACGCAGTCTCCAAAGCCTGATAGACAAGCAATAATTGGGAGAGAGTAGAATCAAGGAAATTTTGACTACTGGTAATCAAATTTAAATCACTTTTTTATAGAGTATAGTTAAAGAGCTATCACGGCTAATTTGTCCCCCATCAGTAATTGTAACAATGGGTTCTCCCCATTGCCATCCATCAAACTCTTGGATGAAAAAAGAAAAAGACCCCTTCATAAGCTGCTCCCCTTAGATATCAAACCAGTCTGCCCATTTTCATTCAGAAATCTGATGCCCATTTCCAACATCTCTCCGTCTACATAATCCACAAAAAATAGTATTGCCAAAAAGACTCCTTCAAGAAACATCATTAATGTGAAAGGGAAGAAACACAAAAAAAACATTACGTTTGGATAATTGCTGATTAAAGTTTGAAAACAAACAAATCTCATCCTAGAATAATGATTGACATATTGATATAAAATTAACTAATTTAACAATTATCTGAATTGAGGGAATGTTTATTGATAATTACAAAATGCGTTGAATAACTTAAATGAACATTATAAATTTATAATTAGAAATGAAGAATCTTTATATAAATATAGAAATTTTAATTGATAACCTTAAATAATATTAATGTAAAATAATCCATATCCTACATCTGAACTCAGCATAGAAGGACAAGCATTCAAATTTTACAATCTGGTTGAATTATTCGGTGATAAAGTAACAAGATTGCCATACTCAATAAGAATATTGTTGGAGTAAGCAGTCAGGAATTGTGATGGATTCAATGTCAAAAAGGAGGATGTCGAAAGAATATTGAATTGGGAAGAAACATCAAAAAAAGACACAGAAGTAGCCTTCAAACCTGCAAGAGTCATATTATAAGATTTTACAGGTATCAATGATAATTTATATACAACTTTTAGGTGTTCCCTTGGTTGTTGACTTGGCAGCCATGAGATCATAGGCTCAAGCCATGGGTAAAGATCCACAATTAATAAATCCTCTATGTCCAGTAGATTTAGTGATCGATCATTCTGTACAGGTGGATTTTCATGGAAATTAAAATGCTAGAGAATAAAATGAATAGACAGAATTTGAGAGAAATCTAGAGAGATTTAGATTCTTAAAATGGGGAAGCTCAGCTTTCAAGAATTTTGAAATAGTACCACCAGGAAGTGGAATTGTACATTAAGTGAATTTGGAATACTTAGCAAGAGTGGTCTTTGAGAAGGATAGTCTCTTGTATCCAGACTCAGTAGTGGGAACAGACTCTCATACAACTATGATTAATGGATTGGGAGTCTTAGGTTGGGGAGTAGGTGGAATAGAAGCTGAAGCAAACATGTTAGGTGAATGCACAAGCATGGTACTTCCATAAGTAGTAGGATTTAAACTGACTGGATAATTGAGTGCTCATATTTCAGCAACAGATTTGGTATTGACATGCACTGAGATGTTGAGAAAGAAAAAAGGTATATCAAATTGAAATATAATAAAGTTGTGGGAAAATTCGTTGAGTTTTATGGTCCAGGAGTATCAACTTTGTCTTTGGCTGACAGAGCAACTGTCTCAAATATGGCCCCAGAGTATGGAGCCACTATGGGTTTCTTCCCAGTTGATAATAAAACTATCGATTACTTGAAACAAACAGGAAGAAGTGAAGAGAAATGCAACTTAATCACCTAATATTTGAAGGCAGCCCATCTATTTTATGAGGAAAGTCAAACAACTTTTAGTGACACTTTAGAATTAGATTTATCAACTATTCAACCTTGTGTTGCTGGACCAAAGAGACCATAAGATAGAGTTAATCTAAGTTAATTGAAATAGGAGTTTACTTAAGGCTTAACAGCCCCAGTTTCCTTTAAGGGATTCAATGTTAAAGCTGCTTAAGATGTTGAGTTTTAATATCAAGGGTAGAAATACAGTTTGAATCACGGATCTGTTGTCATCGCAGCTATCACATCATGTACAAACACTTCAAATCCAGGAGTCATGTTGGCTGCTGGTTTAGTGGCTAAGAAGGCTGTCTAAGCTGGATTAGCAATAAGACCATACATTAAGACATCATTAAGTCCTGGATCTTAATGCGTTACACAATATTATAAAGCAGCAGGATTGGATGTGTTTTTGGATTAATTAGGTTTCCATAATACAGGATATGGTTGTATGACTTGTATCGGTAACAGTGGACCAATCGATCAAGCTGTGAGTGAAACTGTTTCTAATAATGATTTGGTTGTAGCTGCAGTTCTCTCAGGAAACAGAAACTTTGAAGGGAGAGTGCATCCAATCACAAGAGCTAACTATTTGGCATCTCCTCCTTTGGTTGTTGCATTTGCATTGGCAGGAAGAATGGATATCGATTTTGAGAGTGAACCCATCGGAGTTGTGAATGGTTAAAGTGTATTTTTGAAAGACATTTGGCCAACTAGAGATGAAATCAAATAATTGGAAGATTAAGTTGTTTAACCATAAATGTTCATTCAAACTTATTAATAAATAAAGTAGGGAACCAAAAATTGGAATGAATTATAAGTACCAAAGGATTAACTTTATTAATGGGATCAATAATCCACTTATATTCATCATCCACCATACTTCCAAGGATTAAGTTTAGAATTGCCAGTCATTAACCCAGTCACTAATGCTTATTGTTTGGCTGTATTTGGAGATTCCATTACAACCGATCACATTAGTCCAGCTGGTAACATTTCTGCTAATAGTCCTGCTGGTAGATATCTTAAAGAAAGAGGAGTTGCATAGAAGGACTTCAATACATATGGTGCAAGAAGAGGAAATGATGAAATTATGGTCAGAGGGACATTTGCTAATGTTAGAATCAAGAACAAAATGTTGTAAGGAAAGGAATGTCCTAATACAATTTATGTGCCAACAGGTGAAGTTGTGGCTATTTATGATGCAGCTGAAAAGTATCTGCATTCAAATCAATAAACTATTGTCATTGGAGGTGCTGAATATGGATCTGGATCATCTAGAGATTGGGCAGCCAAAGGACCTTATCTTCAAGGAGTCAAGGCTGTCATTGCTATTTCTTATGAAAGAATCCATAGAAGCAATCTTGCTGGAATGGGAGTCTTACCTCTCGAATTCACAAATGGATAAACTGCTGAATCTTTGGGATTGACAGGACACGAACTCTTTACATTAAATGTCAATAAGGACAATATTAAAGTATTTTATTATTCTATTCTAGGTTAATCAAATCGTTGAGGTCGTCGTTAAGAAATCAGATGACACTACATTCAATTTTAACACTCTCTTGAGATTAGATACTGATGTAGAGATAGAGTATTATAAGCATGGAGGAATCCTATAATATGTGTTAAGAAAAATATTGAAATGAGTGTATGGTATCAAAAATCAATTTATATATGTTTTCATTTCATATTACTATCGCTATTGTAGATTATTCTTTATGTATTTTATGAGAGAACTCTTGATAAATATTATCTCTGAAGCCTAATTTTTGTGTATTCCAATAGTATACGTAATAATGCTTCACAATACTTGTTTACCTTTTTATAACAGGAGAACAATAATAATCTAAGAACTAATCATTAGAGTAAGACTTTAATCTGAATTGTATTTAAATAAAATAATCGATTATTTATTATTTATTTAAATATAACTATCAGTTGAAAATACCATCTTCTTCCTTTCTCTATATATTATTACAATATTTGTTAGTTTAGTCTAATCTACTATCTTGCCAGTCAATCATATTAAAATTTATCTACAAAATGAATTGATCATCCAAGAATGATAGATTTTCTAAAAGCGAGGCAATTATTATTTAAAAATATTCAATTTAATGATCTCTGTTCAAATAATATGTATGTTTAATTAATTTTAAAATAAATATTCAAATATTTTCAAACTTTCATTATTTTTATATTGACTTTTAACAAATTTTAAAAAATTAAGTTTAAATTCAAATCAAAGTGCTTAATATTTAAGAACAATAATATAATGTGAAAAATCTTCTTTAAATATATTTAATTTCTAGAATGATATTTCTAAGAAGCTTTTTTATTTTGAATAGTGCGATTTTCACAAATATATAAATGTATATTTATCATTAATCAATTATCTTCAGCATTCTCTAATATACAAGTAAATCCAGGTTTGTATCTAGCATTTTTCATATAAAACAAAGAGATATTTTATTAATTCTGAGGTCCGAATCTTTGATCTTGTTATTGCTCATCCTATTAAAAGTTAGTGTAATCCTAATCTTGCTATTGCTCAATATTATCTAAGGAGGGAAGAATAGGAAGTGCAACTATAAAATAACGATGAGCTAAGGCCTAACTAGCATTGGGTCTTTTCAGAGGATTATAGCGAAGCATTTATGAGATTAAATCAAGAGCATCATCACTCGCCTAAGTAATAACCTATGACAAAGGCTTTGGCTAAATGTTCTTTGGAAATCTATGTTGTATTTTGGCAGCTAATTTATAACCTAATAGTTCGATAGATAATCTTGATACCATCTGGCCAATCCTATTCTGAAGGTGTGCCCATGATTTCGCAGATCTTTTGCAATTAATCAGTATCGCAAGTGCCAGGGAAGAGAGGCCACAATCGATATAGCTCAGCCATTATGCACCCGATTGCAAAGATGTCAATGGGAGAGTTGTATTCATTGGATCTCAAAATTACTTCTGGAGCTCTGTACCACCTGGTGGAAACGTAATCTGTGAATGGAGGAGAAGACCTGATGTCTCTTGCTAATCCAAAATCTGCTATTTTAATGGTGCCATTGGATTCTAACAAATTTTCTGGTTTTAAATCTCTGTGGAAGTAACCTATTTTGTGCCTTTGATTTTAATGGAGATTTACATGTATGCCAATCCCTGTAGAGTCTGATATATGATGTTCCGAATGTGAATCTCATTAAATGGCTTTTATCTATCTTTCATGAGATGGTAGACATTGCGTTCCATGAATTCAAATACAAAATGCAATTCATCGTTTTGCTTAATAATCTCGTACAGTTTCACGATGTTTGGATGATGCAATTTCAAAAGTGATTTGATTTCCGGAAGATTAATACATTCATCCCATTTGTTATATTTGTGTTTCATTTTCTTGATGGCAACAATTTAACCAGTTGTTTCATCTACTGCTTTATAGACCGACCCAAAGGTTCCATCCCCTAATACCTTTCCAATTTTATATTTATCCATAGTTTTTGATAAATAATATATTAACGTAATAATTATTGAAATAATCAAAGTTTCCATCCCATGAAAAGTCTGCTAAAGTATGTAGCCTGCACCACCTTTGATGATTCATTAAACCACAAAGAGTAGAGGCCAAAGACCAAGAAAATATTAAGACAAAACAAAACCATCTAGAATCAATAGAATATTACAAATAGCCAAGATGACAAAATCAAAACAGAACAGAGTGTAGAAGAGAATTCCAACTAAGAAAATTGTTAAAATGATGAAGATGAACTGGAATCATCTAAGAATTAAGAATTAGATGCCAATAACTTTGTGTCTTAAGATTAAGAAAGCTTAACTGAGCAAAACACTGCTCAATTACTACAATAAGCCAATTTTACATTTAATCAGTAACCCTTAATACATTTGAGTTTGAGTTACAAAGAATAAAACTTCATTGTTCCAATTTATAATTATTCAAGTGAATTGACAATCAAGCAATCATTAATATAATTGAATTTATCTCAATAACACCTACACAAGGTTTATTAGATTTGCATTAAACATCTCTAATTTTATTTGAAAACCCTGGAATCTATTTGGTTGAATAAAAAGAATGAAAATATAGAAAACATTTATTTCCTCTAAAACTTGATGAATGAATAGTCATTTGTATAAACCAGAAACCAGAATTCATTCTGGGTAAAGAAAAAGGAATTGAGAAATGGGTATAATTACAAAATATTTAAGTTAGATTCAAATTGACATTGAAGATAAGGAAAAGGAATATAGATTGGTATTTTCGAAGTTCAAAATATTGCAATTTATTCAGAGCTAAAAGTTATTGAACATTGGGAGAAAGTTCTCAATTGATTTGAGTAAAAGCGAGGACTTTTAAAAAATTATTGAAAGATTTTCTAATGACAATCTATTGACTCAAAAATCAAGAGATGAGTTGAAATGGCTAATTCATAATGAATTAATCAGTATGTTTGAATGAAGTTATTATTTATTACCTTCTGTGAATATTTATATAAAATCTAATAGTGGAAAATTATGATAACATATCATTGAGGAGTCCTAGTAACAAGAAGAGTATATCCTTATTTCGTAGATAAGTATTTGGTTGTAGTATCAGTTCCTTTTTTGTTGAAAGTTAGAAAAGGAGATTTTCGTAAAGGTTTGACAAGAATCGATTATGCAACATGGTCATTAATTTTAGTTCCTCTACTATTAGATCTGCTGCTTCTAAATGTAAGACTATTTTTACCTAAAAGTTTAAATGTCTTGAGTAATCTTGTATGTTTGAATGGTATTTACATGTTGAATTTATATGGTTGTAATAAAAGTAAATGCTTCATCATTAATATTAAGAGTTTGTTCCTAGAATATAACAACATATTACTGAAGAATTCTAACTATTATTCAGCTTCTTTTATGGAGTTTGTGATGATTTCTTTTTCGCATTCGAGCAACAAAACATAATTAAAAATTATATATATTTATACAATATAAAATAATGAATTCTAAATACAACCATATTAAAGCATTCTGTCTTTTATTCAAATTGAATGTTGATACTCAGAAAGGTCAAAGATTGATTTAATTTCTTTATATCCAATTTTTGATATATTTATATATTGGTGATACGATAAATCCTAGATTCTGCAAGTAGGTAAGGAAATAATAATTATTTATTTATCTTGTATGTAAATCAATCATCAACAGGTTTGTACCCCTATAAATGCTTCTTTTATAATCTTCCACAATCCTTCATTGTAAAAGCAATAGACAAGTCCTCCCCTTTCCCACTGAGATGGCTGTCTATTTAAATCACTGATACAAACGTATTTTTCATGAATCACCTTCAGTTTTTTGGATGAAGTCTTACCATCTTTTCTTCTTCTCTTTTCAGTGGTTCGTTCATCAGAAACTGAAACTTCTTCTTCTTCATCTCTTTATCTTTTTCTTCTAAGCATTTTATCATCATCACCTTCAAGAAAAACCTATCCCTCTCTTTTTCTTGAGTGTTCGTTGCTTGCAAGTATTTAACCTTATAAAGTGTGTTATGTATTTGTGATAAATGAGGCACCTGCTGAACCAGATCCAGAATCTTTAGGAAGTGTTATTCCATACTTTGAATGATCTTTAGTGTATCTATATTCAAACTCTATTAGTTCATCGTCATAGGTTCCTGTATATTTTACAACTTCATTTGAAAATGTTTTATATTTATTATCACAATCTGCTTCCTATAATCCTTTTACTTTGTATTGTCTCACCCACGATTCTAACACAAAATCTTATTTTAAATGAGGTGCTACAACTTCTGCATAAAAATCTTTTTTATAGTTCTCATTTTTTGAAAAAATTTCAAAAGATTATCCACCTCTTGTTTCAAAAGTCAATTACTTTTTCAACTCAGTCTTTAATATTCAGAATTTTATTACAGATTTTTTATAAGCAGAAGCACCTGACTTTCTCGAAGATCTTCTAGTTGCCCATAAATCAACCAAATGTTCAAATTCATTAAATTTGACACCTTTATCAGGTGTTGCACTATGTTAATATATACTAATTTCTGCTTCTATATATAATTCTGCTAAATGTTCATTTATATCACTAGTTGTTGTAGATAAACACAAGAAATGTTGCCCATTTCTATGAAAATTGTCATCAACTTCATTATCAATTCTAATAAATATAGTAAAAAAATTAATTACTCTCCTTCACTATTTAACTTTGGGAATCTTGGTGTTGAATGAGATATTATGAAAGCTTTATTATTTCCGTTCAAACTTGCCCTCATTATACCCTTTGAATGAGCATTATTAGAGTAATCTACACCTTCTTAAGGCTAATCACTCCATAACATACTAAGAACATCTTTCTCCTTAAAATTAATAGGACTTATCGTCCTGATCAGAGGGGATTCCTCTGAATCTAAATCATCCTATTGGAGATCGAAGTCATCACAATTGTTAACGCTATCACAATAAAAGTAATGAAGACCTAAAAATATCAATCTCTAAGATACCTGACCATCCATTTTTTCTGCTATATGGCATTTTTAAAATGAACCACCAATCTACTGGATTCCCATCCTAATCCAGACAATCCTATGAGAGAGCGATAAGAATCAAAGATAGGAATACAAGGCACTGCTAAATCATTTACATTTAGATTTATTATAATTGATTAATATCCAAACACCTAATGTAATTTTACGATTTTACTTTCAAAAAGTTAATCACTCCTATTTGGATTAATAGTTTAACAATATTTTATATAAATACATATAATCTTTAATAACTTTGTTAAAGTAATTTTAATTTTTTTTCATCACCATCATTGAGAATAATAACTACTTAAGATCCTATTTGAAATTGTTATCTTAATAGTCTTTTTCCTTAATTAGAATTTAATACTACCTATATAATTCCATTATATATCTATATATTAAATTAGATATTTACTAAATATCAAATATAATGACTATTTGCTTTCCAATGAATATATAATTAAAATAATTTATACATTATTACAAAAAATTAATTCATTATTCATTATTCAAAATCGTCATCAGCATTTGGATCAATTATCCTAGCGTTTTCATTGTTAATAATGTGGCCTATTAATGATTGACCAGATTATAGTTTTTAGAAGTGCTAATTTCTAAATTCTGAAAAATGATAAAGCAAAATCTCTTCATAGAGCATGTCTAGAAAATTATTGATATCTCTACCTTTCAATTACTCTTTAGTCAATTCATATTTTTCAAACTCGAATTCTAAGGGATTAACCGGAAGAGATGTTGGCTTAAGTAAAATAAGAATTACTCATATACTTCATCTTCTTCGCTGTGTAAAATCTATAGATATGAATGTTGTAAGGCTTAGGCAGCAGTTAAACGAACTCTATGATCAAATTTTAAAAGTCCTTTCAATAAATCCAAGACTATAATAATTATTAATTGCTTAATACGATCTTAATTAATATGTGCAAATATTTAATTTAATCCAATCCCATTTTAATGACCATTTTCTTGGATTATTTTTCTTAAATTTTATTAGACTTTTAAATCCGAAAATGATTGAATATATTGTTCATTTGGAGTTCCTAATAATTCAAAAATCACCTTGATCTGATGTTTTGTAGAATCTCCTCTTAAAAATGGTCTCCTTAGTATCATCTCAGCTAAAATACAACCAACCGACCAAATATCAACTGAAAATAAGACTTAAAAATATACCTGCCGCATTGTAATTCTGATATCCAATTAATAATTCTGGAGCTCTGTACCATCTAGTCTCAACATAATATGTCATCATAATATTATTTTAAATATTTTCTGCTGTCGCTCTGCCTAAACCGAAATCACATATCTTCACATCACAACTCCTATTTAATAATAAATTTCTAGGTTTCTAAATTTATTATGAATATTACTAAATCTCGATGTAAAATACCAGCTGAATGGAGATATTTTAATCCTCTTAACACTTGGTAAATGAAAAGTCGCATATGATCATCGTTTAAAATTGAATCACTTTTTATAACCTATGATAAATCAGCCTCCAATAAATCCATCACCATGTAAACATCTTCAAACTCCTCTCGACTTGGAGGCAATAAGACTTATTTTAAGTCCACTACCTAAATTCCATTTGAAACATTTATTATACATTGTCATGCCTTATTAATCTTAGAATTTTCAACTCCCTTAGAGTTCTCTTTGCAAATAAACGATGATTGAATGTTTTTTCTATTTTCTTTATTGCGACAGGCTTATTTGTTAATTTGTCTATTGCCTATATAACGCACCCATAGGCTCCTTGACCAACTGAATTTATAAATCAAAAGATCACTTATGTCAATCGGCATATATCTTTAATCTAAATAAAACGTATGCCCTTGTAGGACGTGTTTAACACTTTCAAACTATTTTTTGTAAGGCTTGTATAAATCTATGATCTTCTAGGGTACATTTGATTCTATAATCATATTAATAATCTGTATATTTTATATATTATTAAATTGATTACTTTTATATTACGGTATTCTGTAAAAGCTAAATATATATCTAACATTTTTATTGTTAATTAACATATCAATATTTTTACATTAAAGCAATATAAATTATCAAAATAGAATTGCTTATTATTGGCTTTAATCAAAACTAGAAAGTCTTTTATGAAAAATTAAACTCACGTTATTAATATGAGTTTACTTTTATTTTAAAATTTAATATTTAATTTTTTAATAATTAAACTCGACTGGGTTATTATTTCCTAATAATATTTTTTGAACTTCAACTGATAATTAGAAAATTTATAAATTATCTATTTTAAGGCTTTATTCACCCAATTATTAAGAATTCCTTTTATTTTTGATTATCAAAATTTCAGATGCTCTTCATTTCAATCTAAATAGATATTCGTTTTAAAGCCTTATCAGAAAGCCATAATTATAGAAATTATTTAATCTGTTATAATTATAAGTTCAAATATAAAAAGAAAAGTTATTTGAGTTCTAAACAATAGAATTTTATTGCAATTTTACTGAAAATGAAATTTTTAACCATTAATTGTTATTGCAAGGATGTATTAAATATTAAATACTTAGAAAATTAGTGCAACTTAGACATTTTGATAAACTCAAATAATGCAACTATCTTTTGATAAAAACAATGATATTCTATTAATAAATTTCGTTGAGAGTGTGAAAAATAAATATAAGGGAGAATTTAGTAATCATCTTTTTTTCGAAATAAATGCAATATAAAAAATAAATTTTTTAGGTTTGATGATAATTGAATATAGTATCTGAGCTTTTGTACTTCAGATGATATTAGTGCTAATGTACTTTTAATTTCCTATATAATTATCTTTAATTTGTAGAAACAATGGAAATAATTTTTTTTATTTAGGCAACTTATATTTTTAATTTTAATTTAATTTTAAATAATTGTTATTGCTATTTATATAACCTTTTTGGGAATATTGTTTTTTTAAATAAGAGAAATGGTAATAATTATGTCATCTCTATCATATGGCAAGGTTAAAAATTATAAAATAATGAAGAAATCCTTATTAAAGTATTGTTTATAAATTTGTCCATCTGCACTGTCAAACTTGGATATGATCTTAATTACCGAAGAGGAAAGAGATGAAAAATACACCTGAACTTTGAAGTAAATCATAATGGTCTCATATCTAAAATAATTGATTGATGGGTCTTGCTTTAAATGCAGCAATATTCCTATCAAACATTATTCAGTTTTTTCGATAATAATCTGAAAAGTCTGAAAAAAATAGATTGATATAAAAAATATGACTTAGAGCAGTGTTCATGATAAAAAATGTCAATTTCATAAGATTTTATTTATGAGATGTAATTAACATGCTTCAACTCTGATTCGATTTTTTATAAAAATCATATTCATTCACAAGCTTGCCCTTGATAAGAATTTTGATGGTGAGGTTCTGTTTGCTTTAATTCGAAATTGGCTACACTCCAGCTTACTTAGGAGGTCGATGTCTCAATGTATACAGTATGGTTTTGGCTGTGGAATAATTTAAACTACAAATCACAGCTGCCTATTGTAAAGTATATGTATGGTTTAGTACATCTTTAATTCTAAGCTTTTTATCGAGCACGAGAGATATTAGCTGATTCTTTCTATCAGGAGAAATATGACAGTATTTTCTTTTTGATTTTTGAATGGAAGGTTAAATTCCTTTTTGCTATTAACGGGTTTTAACTCTGTAAGTATGGAGGGAAGATAAAGAAGCATCATCGAAATTCATTACAATTCTTGAATTTGAAGTGTTAAAAAAAGATTTTTTAAATAATTTTCTAAAGGAATAAATTAAATTATCAACTCAGATACATGATATCAAGGCTTGAGTATATTGAAAATAATTAAAATCTATATTTTCCAGTTTATAAAAATTCAGCTATTATAATAAGGTTGTCTAGAAGACGTAAAAACACTGAATCGATTAATCGAAATTGATAATTATTAATATAAATTAAATCATAACTTTGGGTGTTGACTCTTCAACATCTCCACAACCTCAACAACTTCCTTACAAATACGCTGAATAGATTTCAAATCTGCATTCTGATGAATCGGTAGATACAAAATCTGATAGATATCAACTTAAATCAATTTACATTTTTAAAATATGACAAAGTACTGTTTGGATATTAGTAGGAACTACCAATAGGGCTTTCTACAATATCCAATTGAGTGACTCCCATATAGGCATCTATTCCCCTTGAATTCAACACCTTATACGTGGTTTCAGGATCCTGAACAACGACTGGATAAAGCCTTAGAAAAATAACTTAAAGCAGTTTTACCAAAATTTTCTATCTTCTACTGCATGTCCAGGTACAAGCAAGCCACCTTTCTTCAAAATGCTCTGGCCAACCAATTATCGAGAGATTGACATATTGAATTGATCAGTATCAAAAGTTTTCATTCTCAAAGCCAACATAACCAACATGGGATCAGGAACTCTAAATCGATAGGTTTGCAGAATATCATCTGGGTTTTTTTGAAATCCTCTAATGCTATTGACCACAAATTCTTTGTAGTCCCAATTGGGAAAGAAATTGATGAAAATCCATCTGGAACTCCTGTTAATTGTTCTACTATTTAACAAAATCATAGGGATTAAATTTTTTAAAGTTCTCTTGAAATAACTATGGCTGTTATGTTTAGATATTACTTTCTTTAAGACCATTTGGGATAGGTTTCTTGAATGGCTTTCATCTTCCTATAAAGAGCCTCATTATTTCGAATGACACTTATGGAGCCTCCGAAAGCAGAACAAGTTTTTATGGAACCAAAACTAAAAGTGGAAAAATCCACATTAGGATTTACTATATTTAGAATACAGTTGATTTTACATTTAGCATTAGGTGCACTAAAACTTTCAGCTTCATCTTCCATGATAAACAATCCCTTTGACTTCGCCCAATCAATAATTTCAGACGCATCAAATTTGGCTCCAAATACATACGAAATCATAATGCCTTTGGTCTAATGATATGATCAATATATACTTTTTCTGTGTAAAATTTTTTAAATTGATCAAGTGTGCATCCTAATGTATGGGGATCCACTTCAATAGGCACAGGGATGAGACCATTTAACCTCAACACTTAAACCATGTCTGGGATGTTAATTCCTGTAATTATAACTTCAGAGCCTGGTGGCCAATTTAAAGCCTTTTATAATGGAAAGAGTCTTTACTTGCAATACCAAATCTGTAGAAGCTCGGACACATAAGGTCACTAGTATTTTTTAATTTTTCAATCCTCCGAGCCAAACCTCTTCGATCTAGGAAATTTAGATTAATCTTTACCTATTGAATGTACTTATCCTAATCTATTGGTTTTAAGTATGACCACAAAGTGTTGAACAGGTGTCTGTACTACATGTCAATATATAGTGCAGAATAGGGCACAATCTAATCCGCCTTAATCATAATATGTAATAAATAATATATTGTTATCAATTCACAATTTAATCATTTGGTGTAATGATTTGTTTCCAGTTAGTCGTTGATTCAACAGAGGTTGTTTAATTAAGATTGTACAAGGAAGCAATAAAAATAGGTCTGTTTTAAAATAAGTTGATATCTCGAAATATGCTGAAAAAGACATCACTTGAGAATTTCAAATTTATGCATTTATATATTTAGTTTAATATGGGAGGAGTGGAAATTTAGATATACGATTAAATATTGTTATTATTATTATATCAAAGACACGTCAATTGTACTGAATATAAGTAAATGAATTACCTTGTGAAATCCTATCAATTCGTAATTCTCTCTGAAACATCTTCTGCACACATTCATACCATATTTTCTAATCAAACCTTATCTGGCACCACATACTCTGCATTCTATGAAATCTCAATCAGAATTACCTCTTGAATCCTTTCCATAAGTTCTGGGGTGAGTTCTGAATAAATGGTTTGGCATGCTTTCTTTTATTTTATTTAAATATTTATTAAAATCATATTAAAAAAAATTACATTATAATCAGAATTATAATAGAATAGATGATGACCATAAACATAGAAACTCCCAATCATACTCGATACAATGGACTACTTCACAAAATAGATACCACTGAAAATACAATTTTGTTACATTCCGTAGTAAACTATGGAAAAGCTCACAGACCCATTAAATAGATCATCTCAGATACTGAAAAACACAATTATTTTGTACAATTCCCTTTGGATTATGTCAAAACAGAAACCATAATCACTACAAATGATGGGAAATCATACAAAGCAAAACTAAAAAAAATAGATCTTCAGACTAAATTCCCAATTTTGCAGGATATCAGATTAATGTGTAAAGAGTGTGAAGAAAGAGAAAGAAAACCTTTCGACTTCAAGTCCCATAGAGTGATAACATTCGATAAAAAATAGTAGATTAAAATGAAATAATCACTTCACAATTAAAATAAATCTGTTGATCTTAAATCATCCTACCCCCCTTGTATCACCAACAATTACAGGTAGATGGCAAAATTTAAAGAATTAACTGAATAAATAGGTTATAGACCAAAATTAAAGTGTAAAAATTGAGTCTGTGTTTTATAAATCTATATATAAAACCCAATCCCATTTTCAATGAATTCCAAAATTGATATAAAATAACTTCTGAAACCTTCATGAACCTGGCAGGATTATAGCCTATATCATTTCTTTCTACGAAAGAACCAAACTACCAGTTTCACAAATACCAAAAACACCTCCTATAAATATTCATTCCATTTTTATACAAATCTTTATTCCGAGATAGGATTCATTTATTTTGTTATTATCTCCTATGTTTCTTAAAAACTTTTGATTTGCCCCTCAAATTTAAGAAAAAGTCTGACAATAATTATCCTTTACAATCTGTATTTTACCCTAGTTTTCAAATGTAAATGAATGATTAAATATATTGATTCAGTTATTTGATTAATTATCGACTCGTTATTTGAAGAGTGATTCTAATCGTATTTATAGATTAACATAATAATAATAAGGTAGTTTTCGCATTTTCGAATTTATACTTAAATTATAACTGCATAAGGGTTGATTCATTTTAATTGGCCAACTATTTCGTATGATCCATACTCTGTAAATGTTACACTTTTTTTTACTCTTCATAGTTGGCCTTAGGAATGGTCATAACATTTTCCGAATCATTCTAAACCATCCATGATCTGCTAGCAAACTAATCATAGTTGATATTTCTTGCCCCTATATCACAAGGAAACAAATAATGCATCATTGTTTCTATATTTCATAATCATAAGGGTTGTAGAATTAGATCTGGTTGTTTTATTTATTTTCATGCTGTATAAATTATAAATTACAGTATAAAAAATATAATATTTAATCCAAATCTATTTGGAACATATTAATGAATTAACAATAAAAAAACTTTTTTATCAAATTATATGTCGCTTATAACAATGCCCATAAATGACAATGGAAATAAACAACCAGGGTCTCAACCTTTAGAAAAGGATGATCAATAATTGATAAAAAGACAATACAAAATGATATCAAAGGAAAAAAAGAAATAGTTGATTCAAACTGTTCTTCAGTAGAAATGCAAAATTAAAAGAGTACTCTATATTATAATACCTCCTTTAGATTGCCAAGGATCTTAAGATCAATTATGCTACTGCTAAAACTATCCTACATAATTACAGAAAAAAAAATATTTAATTTGAACAAAATGAACAGTTTAAACAAGCATCCTACTCAAATATAAAAAAATTCTCTAAATTGAATCTCAAAATCGTACTTGATGATAAAGTGGTAAAAGAATAAGAATACCTCATTACAACACTTTGAAAAACAATATATATATATAGAATAATTTGTATTAAACGAAACTTTGTATTTTATCCTTCTCGCCCTTTAAACACGCTGACGATCAGCTAAGGCAGGATTTCTTTATTTTATTTAATACAAAAAAGTGTTCAGTAACATTTAATTAAAATATATTATTTACTAACCATTATAATATAATATATAAGTGTATTATTAAACATAGTTATACATTCTGTTATTTCAAAGGTTTAATATCCTTTTTAATTGAATTCGAAGGACCTAATGCCGAATAACCACATAATCATCGAAATCAATCAAAATGAGTATAAAAAAAACTTATAAAAAATTTGTAGATGTTGTGAACAATTTTAACAAGCGATTATTAAATATTGAAAGCTTTTATATTGCAAGACCAAAAATTAATTTATTTAGGTCATAGCAAAAACATATAAGGATGAAAAATGGCTGCTATCTTTGAAATGAAATGAGGTAAGACAGGAAATAAAATTAATTTATTTTTTTTATTAGTAAAAATATAAATTATAATACTCAAAATATAATAAGTGAATAGCCATAATTTTAACAATTTCAAGATTACGTCATTTCTTTTAGGAAATCAGACTCGCAACTATCATGCATGTCAGAATCAGATTTTGATACCTCAGTTTATTTTTAAGACAGAAAATATTTTTAGTCAAAACTTACAATCAAGGGCGTTTATTGTTTCATACATAATTCTTAACTGGACCTGTTGGAAGAATAGAACTTGTCACTACTGGTCGAGGCACTTAATTCTGAGTGTTATGTTTCAATTTGTTTTTGATAATCTTTTATTGTTATGCATTGATTGAGTAGATTTTTGATCACATCTTGATGATGTGAAGTCCATTCTTCAATAATGATGAGTGTAATTTTTTGAGACAATAAATCCCTTTTGTATTTTTGTGTCATCTGGATTTCCTAATCGAATTATGAGAGAATATTGTGAAAGGTATCATCATCCACTTCTGATACAATTTCTTATCTATTACTGAGGATGTCATTTTAGATGTTATTGATAACAGATTGGATTTGAGTTACTTATTCAAGTAAATTTTTGAATGTTTTATCTATTTCCTATTCATGAGTATTTAATAGAGACATTAACTCTTTCTTTTTTTGTTCTAATAAAGTTTAGATGTATTTAAATTGATGTTCAATTCGGCATTTCTATTAAGCATAATGTTTCTTAATTGTTTGTATTTTTGAATTCAAACTCTTTATGCTTTTTTGATCCTCCTGGGATATATAATTGCAAATATTTATAAATTCCTCTAGAATTTCATCTTTATTTAGAGAAGAACACAAACTCTCTTGCACACTCTGATGCATCTACCATTATTTAGACATATTAAAAAATATATATTATATATTAACTATATAATGTAATACTTCTTGATTATTAATTTCACTCTTCATCTGAATCAGTTTAATTATTTGAATTATTGTTGCCCTCCTCTGTATCATTGTCATGATCAGACGGATGCTCAATAACCATCTCATAACTCTGGTTATTGTACCCTAATTTAACAATAGCAATTATGAATACCAGGTATTTTGTTGTTGCTAGATAGAGTATTAAATGGAGCCAGTCGTTCATTGTCTAATTCAATGTCCATATTTTGAGGGGCCATCTTTCCACTGAAGGTTAGATGAATGTAATCTCCCATCACTTTGCTAACAGTGGCAGTAATCCATTGATTTTGGTCACTACACAAATAAATAAGGAATATATACTAGAAGTCGATCTTGTCATCCACCTTAACATTTTTTTCAGTCAAATCGTCGTCAGTATCAAAATCATCATTTAATTTGAAAGGTTCTTTGGGCAAATTGATAAATTATTGTTTCTTCCAACTCAATAATTTTGCATATCCCTAGGAAGAGTTGGGCAGATAGATTTTATGTAATCTATGTTAACATTTTTAAGGAATCTGATTGTTGGCAATTAATTTGTCATTGGGAGGTGGTTGAGTATTCTGATTTTCTAGAATCCACTGCCAAGCTCTTTAATTTTTGGCCATCCATTAATGGACTGCTTAATTCTTGAAAACCATCTAGAGATATTTGAGAATAAATTTATACCCTTAGAATGTATTGCTGACAAACATCAGTTTCTAAGAAGTATTGACCTTATTTTTACATGGCGTCCAATAACCTACTCATTCCGGAATTGATCTAGAATTTAATAATATACTTATACTCTTGTAGGGGTAATTTGATCCTTAATTTGAAACAGCCTTTTGAGAACAACTAAATATTTTCTGTATTCTTTGTATTCCTTATCATTTATTTACTTAATGATTGAAGTAATAACTGCATCACTTTATTTTTGATTATCCATTGAGTAAGCGCACAGAATATCTGAAATCATTCTGATTGCCAATTTGCAATCTCCTTCTTCTAAAAGAATTGAGATAAATTGAATGTCAAATTGAAGTAGACTTTACTCTTCTGGAGATAACAATTACTTATATTCTCCTTTTATTAAATAGGCTATCACTCTCCACAAATAGACTCTACTTGTTGAAGGACCTGAATTCATTGACTTTTCAAATTTCTTTTCTAATAACTCATCATAATAATTCGAAGCAACATCTACACTCTAATAATTTTACTATCCTAAATAGTTGCTGGGATCATCGTTGAATTTCATGACTTTTATATCATCCATTCTTCTTACCACTTCTCTTAGAGGAATTAAGTTTTTATTTGGGTTCACTAAGAGCACTTCTATTGACAAATCCAATAATTTGCCCACTAATCTCTTTGAAATTAAGTATTAGGCATTAGATTAATGCAATTTTGCAAATTTATAGAAAATGTCATAAAACTCAACAGAATTTTTTAGGCTTTTTTTCAATTCTGGAATCATTAATATCCAAGCATTTATCAAGGAAGCCACTAATGATTTTGGTTTATCATCAACCATCTCAGATAGATCTTTGTAGCCTTCTAGTTATTAAATAGTGTCAATGGCTGTGATTATCATAGAAATCACAAATTTCCTAACCATCTTCTTTGAACAATCAAATTAAAATTCTCTTATATATTATGGCTAATTGAAGCATTTTAATAGCCATTAACATGTATTAGGTGATTTTCTTAATAAATCCTAGATTTCTAAAATGTTATTTGAAACAAATGTTTTGTCATTTTCTCTCACAGCGCATGTCAAATAAAAGAAAACTAGTGCTTTTACAATATGATCTTAGACTTATTATTGCTATAATTAGAACTTAATCAAATTCTACATAAAAGTAAAGTATTCTGGACTAAAAATAAAGCGTTGAATTTGGAACTTCCTGTTTTCATCTTTGATTTCGTCTAGAAACTGTACTGTTTTCTAATCCATTTCAACATCTATCTTTTATGATTAATCGGCAACGTTTATAGGGTTAATTCTTTCATAAAACAACATGTAGGCACTTTTAGATTTGTCCTTGAATTGAGGAGGATACTTATTCTTCAAGAATTTATCTGCCCCACCGAAAGCATCATTCTTAAGATCCTTTATGTCAGCAGGAGACACAAGAATATCGTTGAATTCATACCATTTATTTAAATCATTCTTATCTTGAATAAATGAATAGTAATGTCCACTATCTGCTGAACCCATATGAATAACAACCCCTGTTAATCTATATTAATAATATTCTTAGGGGTTGTCCTGTCCATTCGAATTATTTGTTCTGTTTTCCTATTACCTTAATCCCTATTGAGAGTAAGGTTACATATCCAACTCAAATGGGAATTCAATTCTATCGTTGATTTTTGCTTTTGCCATCAAATCGAAATCAAAATTGAATCTTTTCAATACAAGAATGAGATGATCTGGTAATTTCTTGATGCACATTCTCTTCAAAGCACTTACTTTTTTGTTGCATTGCTCGCAATTGTAGGCATTATCACCTTCAAGCAAATCCCCATGTACCAATGTTTGTAAACACTCCTCTAGGTTCTTTTTGTTTGCAACAGGAAGAGAGATAGCAAAGAAGGGTTCTTCTCTTTCGGAATAATGAGGACATGTCTTACCTATTATTTCATTGGACATGACGCCACCAAAAAATCGTTTAACTAAATCTTCATCTGAGGTTGACTTTACATTCAATTCAATTCTATCCATAAGTAAATTACAAAATTCGTCCACATCCATTTATTCAAAAATATTTGTTGGATTCCCATCCAAATCCTTGAAAGCATGACAGAACTTCTTTGGGTTATGATATTATTTTTGTGAATATTTCAATGCCAAGAACAGACATTTCAATTGATGAAGCAAATTCTCTTCCTAAACACAAGTGTTCTTGTCCTCGACCTTCAATAACTTTTCTCTGAAAGCAGGAACCATATATAATTGCTAGAGTAAAGAGTTCATATAACAAATGCATGCTAAATTGTATAAACCAACATATCCAGTTGATGATTTCTCATGGAATTTACTTTAAATATTCCAATCATTTAGGTGTTTGGTTCTCCAAGTGTTGGTTGAATGCAAAGGAGATACAATATTCAAAAACTTGTTCATATTTTATTAGTTTTTCAAGAGAGTAGACAAGCAATTGAATCCAGCAGTTCTAGATTACTGAGACTTGCACTTGCATTTACTTTCTCCTTCATTTTCAAATAAATAACTCAAAATCTACTCAAATAATTAGTTATTAATTGATAGATGAGGCAGTTTATCAATGATGACATTTAAGAGTTTGAGTAAGCCGATCAAAATTTAATCCTAATCTTTAACAGTGATTTCATTGTTTGGCAACAATTATAGCTATTATTTGATGTACGACAACAAATGTTCAAAATCAAATTTCTCAATGTTCAAGTCATCTTCTTATAACAGTAGGTTACAACAAAACTCAAAAAGGTGTTCGCATTTTTATTTGTTATTTGAAATCACATCCTTCAAAACTTCATCAAGCATGATTTTAATCAACAATTTGCTCTCTTAAGTGTTCTTCAGATATAACAATTAATTGCAGTATTCCTTTTTGAGTTCCTAATTTTCATGTTCCACAAAGTAATTATAGAGTTGTTATTTTAATTCGTGATTTTATCTGATATACTACTTACAACCAGATTAGTCTAGTTAATTAAAGCATCTCTTGAGTAGACGAGTCTCAATTTCATTCATTTCCTTTTATTATGGAGTTTTCTTTTGGCCTTGCTCTAGTTTTTTCTTGCTCTTTACGTAATGAGATAGTTCTTGAATTATTTCTATGACTTTCTGCTAGATTTGCTGAATTATTTGAGGCTCTCTTATCTTAATATTCTGATGACTGAGAATTTCTAAATATGTGAAACAAGATTTGATTTCGAGTGGTCTCTATTGAAATTGCAAATTTTAACCTAAGAATTTTTATGTTACCAAATCCACCCCATCAAAATTATTAAATTATTCACACCATTATCCATTCACTAATAATGCTTATATGATTTATAATACATAAAACATATCAAAGAATGAGTGATCTAAGTACTTTTTCCAATCCTTACAATTTTCTACTTACTTTTTTATTTAAATATTAGTAGGCAATCTATTAATCAAATCCCAAACCTAACTCAAGAATTCTGTACTCTCTTATTTATCAAGTAATTTGAACAGAATTTCAAAAGTGCGTTGGTCTTGAGAAAGGTAATTCTTCGGGTGATTTTTGTTATTGATTCTCACCCTCACTGTAGCCATTTAATAGAACACCTGATTAACATAAGTTTCCACAAAATCATATTATTATTCAATTAACTTATTATCCACAGTAATATCTAATTGAGAATAAGCTACTTTTAAATCCTCAGCCAACTTTTATTTCCACTAATTCACTGTCGTTGTATCTCCTTCTTTAAACTCTTTAATGGATGTTTAATTGTTAGTGTTATAGATTTACACCTTAAAGGATGTATAATTGGTTGGTTTTGGGGATTTCTTTGAAGGGGGACCACTTTGGAAGTAATTGAATAAGGATAGTAATAGATTGATGGACCTTGTGGTCAAACTAGGACACTATTGTTAGATCAGTTCTAAACACTTGTCCATCATTTCCTAATAGATTTTGTCGCATTTAGTGTCTAATGTTTGACTGAGTTAAGTATAGAGATTGAGTATGAAATTGGCAATGAGTTCAAGGAGAGCAAGGTCCTTAACCTTAGCAAAGATTTGCCAAATGGCATTTTTTCCTTCAAAATTATGATCATTCACAATGAAGCGCATGGAATTTCCATAATACTTCAACATTTGCCTAGTTTGATTGAAGGATTTGAAAAACACTTAAAATAATTCGAAATCTTCGATTGTGTAACTAAATTATTGATAAAACACTTTTACTTTTCATAATCATTCCTTTCAGGAT